CACAAGTCGTAACCGGCTTTGTTGTCTGCTACTTACCTATACTATTCTGCCTCACGCATCAGGGCGGAACTATAAGGGGATGAATGAAAGCAGCCGGACAAACAACTCACATGCACAGACAGCCAGGCAGGCACACCCACTCGTCTCAGTTTTCTAACTCGACGCGTACGCTGTTAGCTGGTCAGGTGAGCCACTTTCGCTGATGTTTTTACGCTTCACTGAACTAGTAGTGCCGCCTGCGCCCGTACCGCGAGCAGATGCACGCACATGCACAATGCACATAAGCTGACTTACTGACCCTGTACACTGTTGTATTTACAGTGCATGTGTATACATATGCGAGCTATAAGTGTGCCGTGTTTAGTATTTACGGATTGACAGTACTGGGGAAGGGGTTACTACCTGCCACTCGTCGACCGTGTAAAGTCCAATGGCTTCCCACGTGTTCCCCGTTAAGTAACACTAAGTGGACGCTCCGACGCCGTTACTTTGATGGAATGTCTGCCGGACTTCTGACGCCTGATTGCGTCACGACAGACCACGCCCTCGGCGAAATTCCTGCGTGATGGCCGTAACGTCCCTGCGTAACATCGCACTGAGACACGTCTCAAGGACGGTAGCGTAACGAAATTGTCAGGGATGGCGCGGTTCATCATCTCGTTAGATCAGTGTGTGAAATCATATTAGCACTTCACAGTAGGCTATTCCTAACTCAGATTAAAAGTGAATACTCGCGTAGCTTTGCCCATATAACGGAAGAATATTTGTGGCTTACACTTATTTTCAGGTATATTTTAGTTTATAGGTCCACCCTGTCGGTTGCAAAATAGACAAATAAATGAATAATATCATTCCGGTAAATAATCGTTTTACAACTGAACGACATTCAGAAACTAATGATTATTCCGGCAGATTGTGATCAGTTCTCGAATATTCACCTTGAGTTGAGATTACACTTGTCACTATCCCTACGTGCATAGAAACTCTCCACCAATCACATTGATATCATTTTCCATGAGCCGTGCAGCTGCAGCCGACAGCTGCTGCCACAATAGACGCGTGCGGGGGAGACATATGGTACGGGAAAACGGGGCCACATCGACCGCTGTAGACGACTGCAACTGGAATGTGTGGTCGGTAATGATCGCGCACTGGAGCTGCCTCAGAAGAGAATGGGAGTGGAGAGATTTTATTCGAATGTTTTAGTAAAAATTTAATTTTCATTAATTTTTCGTAAATGTTTCGATTATCTTACTCATGTTTCCTGCCAGACTCGAATTACTGAAACGTTTTACAATTAGCATCCGCTGTGAGATTAACGACAGCAAGACAAGTCTATCCGATATCTTCTCGCTATCTAAAGTAGGCAATAACGATTCGCTGCAACACTAGAGGTCCATAACTCGGTAGAGAGAGTGGGCTGGGTGCAAGGGAGAGAGAGAGAGAGAGAGAGAGAGAGAGAGAGAGAGAGAGAGAGAGAGAGAGAGAGAGAGAGAGAGAGAGAGAGAGAGAGAGAGAGAGAGAGAGAGAGAGAGAGAGAGAGAGAGATATGGGGAAAGGCGCCCTGTCCCTGCGGTATGCTCGAACAATGGATACTCCACCAGCTGGTGCATATACAGGCAGCCTGTGTGAGATGACGGCTATACCTCCCGGGGCTGCCTCGGCTGCCAACAGAGCACCGAGCGGGGAAACTACCGACAGCATATGGCCACTACTGAGCACGGATACGGCGCTGCTGAGGGAGCCTGAATGCGGTGCTGACGTGTAGATATCCAACAAACGTTTCAACGTGAGTCTGTGGAGATTTGGGCGATTAAATTTGATGCTTGAGCCTGAGCAAACCTGAACAGGCTGGTGGAAACCGATAGCATTGAGAATAAGATGCAATTCATAGCGATAGTCGGTTAAAGTGTTAAGAGAAAGCAATGCTGTAAATGCTAGCACCTTGCTTCTATCTTTCCTTTTCAGGCAAGTAACTGTTTCACATGTTTTGCTGGAGCGTCCTTTTTGCACCTGCACTCGAAATTCGCTCCAGAAAAGAAGTACGCCCGTCTTTCACACAGCATCACTTTGTAGAAGCCGACTAGGATACTGTCCCACTCCCCATTACATCCTCTAGAAAGCGGTTTGATATGAATCGCATTAGTAGGCAATACATACAGTACTTGTCGTTACTGTAAAGATTTCAGTTTTCTTTTATCATGAGCATGTTCTTCACATTCTCATCACCATTACCATTATCATCGTTCCATAAATAGAGCAAGAGCCTTTTCTCCACTGCATGTGCACTCTATGCCTCAGCATCTGGCTCTGACTACTTTCTCGCTACGAAAGTTATCCATCCATTGATCGTGTTGAAGAGATTAGCTGACAAGCGAATGCACCGGAGGCCGATTGGTAAAGGATGGTGATCGGGTAGTGGTGGTGTTTGGAAGGAAAGAGAGAGAGGAGAGAGAGAGAGATAGAGAGAGAGAAAAAAAAGTGAAAGACAGAGGATAGAGAAGAAATAGAAAGAGAGAGAGAGAGAGAGAGAGAGAGAAAGAGAGAGACAGAGAGAGAAAGAGGGGTAGGATATGTAGATTTAAAGAGGGAGGAAAGGCAGAATGAAAGAGGAGAGGTGAACCATGGAAAAATTACACATCGAGCTCGACTGCAGTGAGGTTGACCGCGTTGTTTCTCTCTGCGTCCTGTCTCTCAGCCGTCAGACTCAGTCAGGGCCTCAATCGTCCCTGTAACCCTGAACACTCCTGTGATGTATGTGTTCAGATTCGCGGCACGGTCGGAGGTCTCATTCCGGTCTCGTCCATCACAGGCGGGCAGTCGGCGTGAAGCGGCGATAACACCCATCTGTTTTCATTTTCCAGCCGGTTAGTTCAGTGAGGCTGACTCCGAGGATGGTCACACATGGCGGAGGAATCCGACAAAAAGACAAAGGACATACCTACTAAACTCGCAACTCGGCCTTCAAAGTGATGGCTGTGGTTAGATTCAGGTAACGTTCTCCTTTGTCTCACGAAAAAGGAAGACAATTTTGATCGCTCTCCTTTTTTTCTCTAGCGTCCTTGATAAATGCGACATCCGTGGTGATCGATATAAGGTGTATCATTTTTGAAGTCTCTTTGTGACCTATTTATCTGCATGTTCGCGTATCAACTGGTAATCATAGCCCCATGCGTGGATCGTGATGGACAGTTGGTTTAGATAACGTCGGTCCAGCGCCGAAGCTGTTTAGATTCATTTAGGTCAGGATTCTTATCTTTGGAAACTATATAGGTCCATACCTGTGAGTAGCAGTTTGCTTAACCTTCTGTATTTCTAACGTTTGATCAGAAACTTTATTAAATCTTATAAGCACAAGTCATCAAAGTGCAACGCCTATAGACTTCAAATGCCAATTGAATATCGATCATCAAATGCTACGCTATTTTGCTTGAAACGTGCGTTGTTTCTAAGACCTAAACAAACCACGTCTCTAATGCTATAAGCTGTGCCACCGAAATGCGTTAAAATTTGTGTCCATTACTTACGCGACCACGCTACTATTTGACACGGTGTAGCGCGATCCAGACTAAATAACATCGTCAGATAAGATCGGAGAGCGGAGAGTACCGTGAGCCGCCCGTTACGTTACGTCACACTTTCGACAGCTAATTATCTGCCCGTGGCTGAGACTGGTGCACCGGATGACGACGACCCACGCTACCAGCGCCTTGCGCATTTTATGGTATCCACAAATACCTAAGATAATGAGGAATGAATACCATAAATACTGGTGTTAGAGATGTCTACGAAAAATAGACACCAGACACTCAGGCTGTCAAGTTGCCGGATTCGAACTTAAGACATGCACCAGTTAGGTAATTGCACTTTGAATAAAGGTAGAGATGTAATGTCTACCTGAAGCAGACCTTCCACTCGGCGCCCGCGAGATAAAACAAGAGTGGTTAAGGTCACGGAACCACCGTGAGAGTCAGACGCTGACCATGAGGGACAGCACAATAGCCGGACTAGGTCACCCGTCCCAAATTGGCACTAATTACCACACGCTCCATCTGCGAGACAATGAAGAGCTTAGCGACCCGGTCATCAAAACCGCCCACCGACCTGGCCACCTGACCCGGCGAACCTTCTCATCAAAAGTCCATCCAAAGGCCGCGGCCCTAATTCATATCAATTGGCTAAAGCTGAGCTACGTGACCCATCAAAATCCCCGCACCTTCAGCTAACTTCAACCGCGAGTTAGTGAAGTTTAATCACGCATATTGAAGGGTGCAGCCTCTCGTCACCAGGCATCCGACCACTGAACGGGCCCGTTTTGGATGATTTGATGCCTGCTTCACGCCTCAGCCCAGATCACAGAGTCCTACATACGCAGTCTGCTGCGTGACGCAGCCGTTACGGATGCCAGAACGTCACGATAAAATGCCTGTCGTCTTTACGCCACGCCGGTCCGTTTGGGATGTATTGGTGTTAGTGGCCTGTGATGAGATGCAGTCGCTGGTTAGAGTGGTGTGCTACATTGGAGTCTCCGTATTGTTTGTATTAGTGCTAGTGACCTGTGATGAGATGCGGTCACTAGGAGGGTATGCTGCATTGCAGTCTCAATTGTGTTTGTATTGGCGATAGTGACTTATGATGAGATGCAGTCTACGTTAGGATAGCGCATTTCGTTGCAGTCTCTGCATTGTGAGTGTTTTTTTTTTGGTTACTGCTTGGTTCGTTAGTGACTTATATCCCTTCACATGATTTTTTTTAAATAAGTTTTTTGAAGACTCTCCATCCAAATGGATGCTATGTAATTGTTCGGGCATGGTTTATCTTGTCTGTGCTTGATTTTCTTGAGTTTTGATGCTGAAACTTCATCGACGTTTCAAAAAAAGAAAAGAAATAGAGCATCAAGTGCAGATAAAAATTCATTGCTAGCTCTTTAGCTTAAATTACGTCCCCTAAACCTTATCTGTTTATCACATCTCATACCTGTTTTATCCCCCGTTACTCACCTGTTCCGCCGAGTCCAGCGGTCCCTCCTTGCTGGCCTCCGTCCTCAGCTGGGCGAACTGGAATTCGTTCTGTTTGGCCAGCCAGCGCAGCAGTAGAGTGATCACTTCACTACCTGTGTGGGGCACACTGTTAAACACCAGCAGACGTCGATTTGGGGGAGGCTCCGTGTCCTCGTCCTCTTCTTCCTCCTCCTCCTCCTCAAATTCGTCCTCGAATTCGTCCTCCTCTTCCTCAAAGGCTTCATCTTCGTCTCCGTCGTTTTCAAACTCCACTAGGTTGTCCTCAAAGTCGTTCCCGTCATCGGAGTCAATCAGGTGGCCACCCTCGCTCCTGGAAGCGTCCTCACCACGTACACTCGTTCTGTAGTTTACAACATCCCTTCCCTCACCACCATATCCCACACTGTCCACAGTTTGTGCACTGTATCCCTCAATCAGTTTCCCTGCACTGTATGTTGCCCTGCGCTCGGCCCGCGCGCGTTCAGAAGTCCGATACATCTCATAGTCCACAGGTAGAGTGGCCGGACCCGGGCGTAAATCCTCCTCTGGGTTCACGTCTCGCAACCACACGGAATACATCACCCATAACAGCGCACCGTAGGAGAGAACCACAACGAAAGCAGCGGCACACCGCTGTACCGTCAGCACGTGTAGAGCTGCCGTCGCACCACCGGGCCGCCTCCGCACCTCCACGAGGCGGCCCATCGTCGCGTCGGAGCCGACACGGATCGTCGGCGCCGACGGAAGTGTGTCGACGACGACGGGTGTCGCCAACGACGACGGCGGCGCGATGGTGGAGAGGCCGCGCCCCGGCAGGAGAGGCGGTTGAGTGGCGGCAGTCGGCGGCCGACTGAGAGACGGCGCGGGGGGCAGAGCGGGCGCGCCGACAGGAGCCTCCCTTCCTCTGTCAGAGACAGAGGCGGAGAGCAGGCTCGGAGCCGGTGCGGCCGAGCGCACCGCCGAGTGGCCACTACAAATGGGTCAGCCTGCGCGCCGCGCGCCGATCGTCCACTCAAGGGCGCCGTGGCGAAAGTGTGAGTGGTGTGGCGGGCTCGGAGTGCTGCACTGACACTGCCGGAGGCGGGAAGGGGCCGCCGTCTGCCGGCCGTCACTCCTCTGCCGACCGCCGCCCAGCGCGCCGGAATTGAAATCGGACGCCCACGTCGGATTTCCGCAGTCCATCGACCACCGTTTGTTCATTGTTGTCCGCCGTCCACCGTCTACCGTCTATCCTCCACTGTCCATTGTCCATCGGTCCACCGTCTAACATCTGCCGTCCGCCTCCCAACGTTTACCATCCTCACTCTTCAGGTAGTCCACCGCTCAACGTCTGCCGTCCAACATCGGTAGACAGCCCACCTTAAACCTTCCACCGCCTGGTGTCTTCCTTCTACCGCTCACCGTCCGGCGTCCACCGTTTACAATCCGCCGTCCTACCGGCTTTCTGAGTCCATGGGGACGTGTCCCCTGCCCAGAATCAATCCCTCAGACCTCAGACCAACAGCTGAGTGCGGTCACGGACGGTGGGACGGTGATTTATGATTGGAACTAGCGTGGGAGACGGACCAACTTCCGCGAGCCCGTCGAGACGGGGGAAGGGCGTCACGCTTTGACAAACATGGTGCTTAGGCGGGACTGGATGTTAAATGAGGCAGAATATGACCTTGGGTAATTTATAGATGGGTTTGAGTTATGCATGGGTATGAATGATATTACTAGTCGCGTGGGATTTTCCACTGCATTGTAAGCGCTATCGGCCTATTTCCCGGCGAATATCTCATCAAAAACTTGCAAGTCTTAAGGCCGCCGTCCACTGTGCGGAACGCGTGCGGTCCGTACGGAATTTAACACAGAACCCTATGGGCGCATCCGGTCCGTACGGAAATCGTGTGCGCTCCGTCCGGACCGCATCCGAACGGCAATCAGCTGTTGATTTTCCGTCAGCTCTCCGCATGCGTTTCGGATGCGGTTGCTACGGAGACGGAAGAGTGATGTCCGACGCGTTGAACTTTTCTGCGGAAAACGCATCCGGAACGTCCGGAACAGACGTGGTTTGGGGCCGTATCGGAGGCAAACATTGTGAATTGTACGAAGAATTGGAACTCGATCATCATGAAGTAAGTAAAAATTATTTCCTTAGAATGGCAAGAGTATTCGCTGCTGGTTACTTGCAATATTTTATTTGGTAATAAGTGATGGGAAACATTTATTAGCTCTCCGCATCCGGACCACATCCGGACCGCATCCGGACCGGATGCGGCGACATTCCGGACGGACTCCGGACGGAATTACGTCGCAGTGGACGGCGGCCTTTAGTAACGACAACCTGCTGAAAGTCATTAGTAAAGTTGCGTAAAGCTGAATGCGGAAGTTCCCACGTGCAACAATTAAACGCGTGGCGACATTCCCATTCGTTTCGGATTCCTGAAACGGAATCCTACACGTTGCAGGAGGTTGCAGGCACACGCTCACAATAATCAAGAGACAAAGCAGTGACGCAACAGCACTCTTCGACAGCGGATTCTCATGAAACATGCATGAGCACATGTGTTTGGTGCACCTTCAAGAAACTTAGATTTATGCATGAGTATTGACCACCCAGTAACACTCTCTTCCTTCACTCAGAGAGGCGGTCAAGGTGCCAGTTTACGCGTTTTGACTCCAAAGAATGAATACATTAGCATTGTAATTAACCCACGTTCGTAGGTGCTTAATGAACCTGTCTTCTGGCCAAGGTCTGTCGGGCGTCGTGGCTGTCGAAGCTTCGGAGCTTTAGGGGTGTAGCATCAGACCTTTCATAGCCAAAGTCAGGGTGGTTATCAGCAGATAGTTGACCGAGTTAAACGTACTTTGTGTCATTAACAAAAGAAACCTCGCTTTAATCACTTCATGTTTGATTGTAAACGGTTTCTTCTTCGATGCGCGCTGACAGATGGCTCTCTAGGAATGAAGCTCTGACAGACGTCATATGGCTAGAGAATATTATTCATAGCCGAATACGTGTCATCGACTCATCGCCATCGTTTGTGGTCAGAAGATGCTGATATTGAAACCTCAAAACTTTAGGCATATGGCGAGCCGTTTAGAGAGAATGGTACTTACACGTCTAAACGAGCGCATGTGAGGCGACGCTCATTGTGTGTTACACAAAAAAGCTTCCTCGGTGGAAGTCCGAGAAAGTAAAGAAAGTGGGGCTCAGCCAAAGCCAGGCGCACACAGAGATTCACTTGCAATGACCCGCACTAAACTGGTTCCAGCGGGCCCCGCCCTATCTTCTCTGCATTACAGTGCTGACCTGACCCCAGAGAGGGGCTGCTGCAGTGTCGTAATGGGGATAGGGCGGCACCTCTACCCTGCACGACTGGTGAGCCGGTCGTGATGACGTTATTAGGGATCAGCGCCAAATGGGGCGGTGTATGCGCCGTGTATAATGTAACGAGTGATGGTACTTTACGGGAGGAGACGAGCAAAACGAGGAGCAAATAATGCAACAGTGGTGGCAGGGGAGCCATACAATTTGTGCCGCTGCAGAAGGCATACAAATGGTGCCCGATGGGGTCACCGTGCAATCCATGGTTAATGAATATCAGCTTCAGGAGTTGGATAGCGATTAAGTTGAACGTGTTCGGCCTAATAAATTGTTTCAGACCGTGCAATCGCTTGAATAAAAATGGTGGCGAAGGGGGAATATATTGGCTAAGACCGATGATTTGCATTGTTAAAGAAACAGTTGATAAGTAGAAGTTCAGTAAACAAAATTTGAGGTGCTTGAGGGCTCAGTCAGTGTGCGCTGTGCACGCTCTAAGCACTGTCTTGATTGCTTCATAAACCTTGTGTTACAAAGAGGTATCGTATCGCAACCTTTTTAATTCTGTCGGTTACATCAATATCTCATGCTGTCACAAATCGTTAGCTGATCACGCACAAAACGTACAGAAAAAAAAACGGATCGTTATGTTAGTCTAGCATAAATAGAACTACCATCGGAAGTTCACTAGCATGTCAGACACATTGCTATTTCACCCAGTAGCACCGGCCTACACATATGGCCTTCGCCATCACCATATGATCATTGGACGGACACTGCATCTATAAATAGTGGAAATTAAATAGTGCACCCAACACATTTAAATATTCTTCTCCAATCACCCAAGAACATTATATGCACCACATCGCGACATACATTTGGCATAACATCTCAAATGATTGAACGATTAATAGCATAGCTCATGTAAGCAGGAGCACAGCTTCTATTCAGCCTCAAGAACTTCATAACAAAACTCTCGACTTATTATAGCTCTCCTGGCCGTTACAGTAACATCGTATCTCCACTTGCCAGTGGTTGAGTACCCGGCACCGTCGTTTCTAGTCGTCGAAGTCTGAGCGCCGCCGCCGGATGATGCAGCAGCCGATCTGGTCGTTCCCTGAGTCTCGTACCACTATGGCGTCCCCTATGGCGTCCTCTAGGTCCTCCAGCTGGTCCCGGGGAATGGTCCAGTCCTCGATCTCAGAGTTGTCGCCGCTGTGGGAGGGGAGAGGAAGGTGGAGTGAGGGACTATAGTGAGCCCACTAAGTCATTCCTAAATTCACACTCAGACTATGGCATTTCAGCTCATTAGGTGATGCAATCGTAGCTATAATAGCAATGGCTCGCTCAACCATGAATGGTACTGCTCTACTGTAAAATTCAATCTTATTGAAGTCATTTAGTCATACAACATTACGCATTGGCATGTTTATACAAAACCGTTTATATCAGCACTTGTTATTGAAAATAAAATAAAATGAACTCACTTGCCACTGGAGAAAATGCTAGCAATGAAGTTGGAAGGACTCGAGCAAGACGAATCAGTCGAAAGCAGAACTTGGAGCAGGCCGTCGGCATCTAAAAAGAGAAAATATATAATTTTTCTCGAGAAGAGTAAATAAAGCTAATATGTAGAAAAATGTTTGCCACAAAAATTTGTATTTTTTGCGAAGTCGAAGTCGATAGGACAAATGGTAGCACTACAGGCTCAAGTCACTCTCTCCCTTCCACTCTCCCCTCCCTCCCTCTCTCCCCTCCCTCCCTTCCACCCTCCCTCTCCCCTCTCTCCCCAGTCCCTCCCTCCCTGACTCACTGTTCCTATCGATATCCCCATCGATGACCACCCGATCGTCGTCGTCCCGGTAGTACTGGGTCAGACGCAGGTCCAGGCCGGCGGACGCGTCGTCCCCTGACTCGGCAGAGGACTGACATGTGGCGGATATCTGGCAACGGTGATGACACTCGGTGAATATAGAGAATAAGCGGTAAATGCGTGGCGATAGGACAGTGAGGGTTCATTGTTGAACGCCTAGAAGTTAACTAGCATTTGCAGAATGTTTCAATGTAACTTTTCTTTGATTAGTTTCCAAATGGTGAATACCCTTTTCAGATATTACCCAAAGTTTGGGTCAAATTAGTTCATTGAGGGAGTGACGGTCAGATCGAAAAATTATCAACTCGATTAAATAATGCGACAAATAATATGTTCCGCGGTTCAAGAAGCAACACACAGCCGCTTTAAGTGCTGCGCTACCGTTCGTCTCTTACCCTGTCCTCCCTGTCATCGTCGTACTTGTCTGCCTTGCTGATCTCCTTGAGGTACCACCACTTGACCCCGCCGGTACCGATCAGCGAGAGGGTGGCCAGGGTCAGAGAGATACCCAGCAGGGTGTACGAGGCGGGACTGTAGCTCATGACGAACAATGTAGGATGGAACGGGTTGGGAAAATGTAAGATAAGACGGGATGGGAATGCCCGGAAAGACTGGTGCGGACTGTGATGGATTTCTACAAATAGTTACCGAGTGGTACGGAGCTCGATGGACTTATTTGAAATGTTTTGGACTGGTAGGGGTGGAGACGACGTCGAAGGGACTGTCAAGAACTGCCAAATCTTCCGGAAATGATCCAACGATGCCCGACAATATGAGTCGTGAACGTCTCCAAATACACGTCTATCACCACATGCTGCACTAGCGGCCCGTCGAAAGTCTTAACAGGTCTTGCAAGCTTGAGCTGGCTGGATCCTGCCGGCTGTAAAATGACAACTAGAGCTTTGACAGCGACTGTGGTCAATTTAAGCGCTCATTTAGTCACGTGACCTGTGCCGCTAGGTCATGTTTCACTGCAGGTCACGTGTCATTCAGCTCTCGCCATTTTACTTGGGCAGCGTGATGTCTGTTTTTGGTGGTTGTTTGAGTTGAGTGAAGGGTGTGGACTGTAGATGCTGTGTTTCAACCCTAATCAGAAGTGATTAAATCTTCGTTAGTGGCGTAGGCCGAAAGTTCTTTATTCCCTGTGTGAAAATGTTGTTGGTGCTATTGTTTCTAACCCATTTACAACGGTTTGCATAATCAAACTGGTCGCAAAACATAACCGCATTTAAAGAGGGCTCTCGTTAAAGACGAATCCTAAGTATTAATATCGACACCTTAATTATCAGGCGTATCATTATTTCAAGTACAACAGAGTGTGTTGTATAAAAACTAAAAACAATGGGCTCTCACCAATTAAGCATAGTTAAAGTATATAAACGTTTCCATCAGAAAAAGAAAGCAAAAACGTATACCCACTTTAGTAAATCCGACCGAGGCATTGCTATCTGAATGAAAAGGATCGCATCCCAGTTTTCCAGTGACCCACATTTTGGGTGGCGGAAGCAGGGCATATTTTAAGGCACTTACTGCGTCCCATTCTGGGACGCAGCCCCCTCGCCTTGGGACGTAGCCCCTGCTGATTTGACCCACTGCGTCCCTGCCCTGTGCCGTCCGGTTCCCTGACCTGTGCCCTAATGTGTGCCCTGACCTGTACCCTTCCCTCTAAAATGTCCTGTGCCATGCCGTGTGACTTGCCCTGCCCTACTTTCTGCCCTCCTCAGTGCCCTAGTCTGTTCCTTGCCCTGTGCCCTTAGTCATAGCACGTGCCCTCTGCTCAACTTTGGGACGCAGTTAAAAATTGTTAAAATATGCCCTGGGCGGAAGCCATGCAAACATTCCTACATATGTTTACCTCAAACCTGTGAATAATCTGCAGCTTACCCGCGTATATAGGGATTAGAAAAAAAAAATAATCCGTCTATATGATCGGACAAACGAACGTGCCTCGTCGGTTACCGTGGACTCTATGAAATCCGTGACTGCAGATTTGTGCCATTGCCCATTACGTGTAGGTACAATGAATAAACGTATCATTCGTCTCTAGAGGTGTAACGATATCGATACCGTCAGACGGCCAAGAAGAACGAGCTGAAATAAAAATATGAACGATAGGCTCATCCGTTTCTGTAACGTGCCCATACCTAAAATAAAGACACGGGACTATCAGTTGTGCCTAATGGATAAAAGCTGACCTTGATGACAGATGACCGCACCAGTCGTTTCCGGGAAGAGACCATCTTCTATAACGCGGCACCGTTTTCATGTCGCCGATTCGGCCCGTGTCCTTCAATCTGACCAAGGCCGAGGCAGTCCATGGAGGGTTTTTGTTGGCCGGGACCGGTGTCAGTGTACGTACCATGAATGGTGAGTCCTCTCTGCCCCTCAGCTGTGGTCGATGAAGGTTAAAGGGGAGGGGAGGGAAGTAAGGAGGGCATGGAGAAAGATGGGTAGGAATAAAGGGCGAGGAGCAATATGGAGGCATGGGGTCTGGTTAAGTGATGCGTTCCTTCAATATCGCAATAATGAAGCGAGGAGCGAGAACAGGATTGAATAGTGAAAAGCTGGACAGATGGGGATAGGATAGATGAGGATAGTAAGAGGAAGGGAAGACCGAGAGGGAGTATACTCAGTTGTGCCATGTGTTTGGTGTTATAGGGACAGGTAGGTGCGACTTTGATAAAAAAGTTGATCTTAGCTTGCGTGGTTTTATTTACCCATAGACAACAAGTCATGGATGCTTACCAACTAATCATTAACCATTATAAACACACATTTAAAATACCTACCATGTTGTACGATTTGCATGTATAATGCACGTATGATATGGTAAATTTCTACTTATCCTATTTGTATTCATTGACAGGCCATCCCGCCTTTTAAACGGTCGCCCCGGAGATGTATCGTGAATCAAGACTGGATGCCCACTGGGCAAACATCAGGTACAGGATACCTGATAGGAGTTAGAAAGGTCAAATATGTCAAGAGCTCGATGAGAACGGTTCCCTACAGGCCAAGTGGCCTCTAAATTCCGATCAAATTAAGGTAAGGTAAGGTAAGGAATTAAACGGTCGCCCCGGAGATTTGCGATGCCCTCATCGGCTACCTACCTGAACTTTAACCCTCGCCCGTAAACGGCGATCTGCCACCTTACCCATGCAGGGGGGGGGGGGTTGGTGCGACCCCCCCCCCCTTGGCGTTTGAAAACGAAGCGTCGTAGAGCTTAGCGGAAAAGACCAACGGATTGCTCTCGCCGAGATCTCGCGATTGGCGGTATATTTTTTGGTCCTAGGTCAACATTTGACCTACTTTTGACCGGTCAAAGGTCAAATTTTCGGAAAAATAGACTTTTTTCAACTTTCGGCGGCGATTGCGGCAAAACGGTGGGAGATATCGACTTGAAACCTTCACTATCGTGTTCCTTGATCAATTCTCTATCGTTTGGTATGTATTTCGTTTCCCTAGCTCTAAAAATGGCGCGTTGGGAGCGCCGGAAGTCGGCAAGATCACAGTCGGCGGCAGAAATTCGAAAAATCAAAATTTAAATTTTTGAAATCTGATTGTATTTTTGGATTTGGGAGGTCCATTTGCTCCCTATGGAAGCTAATATTGCTGCATATTCCCATTGAGGTGACAAGAATTAGCAAAATAGTGGTTCGGGCGCTTTTCAAAAATAGTACCGGACGCTGTTCCTCTTGTGACGTCATAGCTCCGTGACCTGACCTGACCCGGTCAAGTTTCTTATACCATATGATAGCTAATACTTGCCCCAACATGCATGGGAAGTTTCATCACGATCCATCAACCGATCTCCGTACCACCGGCAGGAAACCTCGGGCGTTGGCACTCAGTTTGTGAAAATCCGGCCGGAGGCTGCTCCCTTTGTGACGTCATAACTCCGTGACCTGACATGACCCGGTCAAATTTTTTTTATCAAAAGATGCGCAAGGTTTGCCCCATAAGGTACCCAAAATTTGGCGGCGCTGCGCGCCGCCGTTTTTGCATTATTTCCGAAAAACCTCAGGGGGGGGGGTTGCACCAACCCCCCCCCCCTACATGGGCGAGGGTTAAAACCACCACTCCGCTAAGGGGAGCGTGATCACCTCACGGGTGAAGGTGCATTGGTCCAGCTATGAAAAAAAACTTGGATGAACAAGAAGGTTGGAGAGCTACTTTCAACTAAAACGTGTCGAGTTGAGAAAATGCGATCGGCAAAAGCTGCTAAACGAAAGCAACGTTCATATTCACGGGAGACTGTCAGCACTTCTCTATCGCAGCACACTCTGATCTAAAGTGATAGCCTTCGGCAAGTAGGTGGCGGTCGTGGTACAGATAAAGCAGACCTCACTCCTGAATCTCTGTCGGTATCGTTTCCCGTAGGCAATGGTCTCGTCATCGTCGACTTCGTAACCTCCGCTAGGTGGCAGGACCAAAATAGTTTTATTTTCATAGATGAAAAATAAAAAAAAGCCGCTATATTTGACAGCAATCGACTATAAGAAGGCATTTGATTCCGTCAACAGAGCCAAAATGATAGAGGCTATGAAGACATATAAGATAGACTCACGCATCATCGAAGCCACTGCCCAAGTCTACCAAGGTGACTCGACAACCATCAAGCTCAATGACAAGACACAAGCAACTATTGAAGTCACATCAGGAATAAGGCAGGGGTGTAACGGTTCTACCACAAGCTTCAAGATAGTAACCTACATCATCGCCAAAACAGGGACCCTCCCACCTTCAAAAAAGTTAATGAATTTGCATGAAAGTGATGTCGCTCGGTTCAGAAAGAGCAAAAACGAATATCTACCAAATTTCATCGAAAAATATTCACCGGTTTTCAAGATATTAGACTTTTACTTTTGTTTACTTTTTGGGATCTCCGCTATTCCTAGCGACTTTATTTGAAAGTGCGGCATTTGTTGCGCGCAAAGCAGCATATACCACCGCGTGCTACAAAACGTTTTAGTCAAACATTTAACGGACGTTCGAAAGCCTGATGACGTCATCAGATTCCCGTAATGGTTAAGAGATAGGGACCAAGCTGGTCCCACCCTGCAAGTAAAGGGAAGAAATTTCTTGAACACCATAAAGCTGCGGGGGTTGCGACCAGGATAAATGGTGGTTTCTGAGCCTGGCCGCAAACTTGGCTATCTCAACTCAAAACTAATGTTAAGGTGGGAGGGTCCCTTTAATGGAGACAAGAATGGGCTTCAAGAACGACAATTTCTACATTCCAGTACTATTCTTCGCTGATGATGGCCTTGTGTTATCACAGACTCTTACTGAGACAGAATGTTTACTGGAGATTCTGGCGGACATCAGCAACACATTTGGCCTACAAATTAACAGGGACAAGAGCGCAGTGATCGTATTCAACAGCAAGGACCAACCGAAAGACATTGCAAACATCCCTGTAGTCAACAAGATTAAGTACTTGGGAGTTACGGTAATCAACAAGAGGAAACTGTTTAAAGCCCATATAAAGGAGATGTACCAGAAAGCCCAGAAAATGGCCAATATGACATATGGCATAACACAAAGATGCTGCAACAAGCTGATGATCGGCAAATGTTACTGGAAGTGTCTGGCACTCCCCTCCTTTCTCCATGGAGCAAGCATTCTTAGCCTTACAGAAACAGACATTAAAAAGCTCCAGATATGTGAAAATGGAGTATACAGACAGATGCTGGGAGCACCGAGGTATTCGCCCATCTGTACACTCAGAGGTGAGGTGGGAGCCTCCCTCATGAAAACTAGAGTGATGGAGAGACACCTACAGTACCTAAGAGGGATAATTCAAGGAAGTAATGACCTGATAAGAAGAGTAGTACACGTAGAACTCGAGAAAAAGAAGAGCATATGGGCAAAAACTACAAAACAATACTTAGACGCCATTGGTTCGAAATATGCAGAACTGGAGACAATGACTAAAACTACACTGAAGAAACGTATAAAGGAATGGGATGACAGACAGTGGAAAGAAGAACTCGAAGCTAAGACCAGCATAGCCATATACCGGTCAGGCAAGGAAACGATAAAGGAAGACCCGATATACGACAACACACCGTCCTCAGTAATCCTCTTCCGAGCCAGGACCAACACTCTACCACTACGAGCAAGAAGACATGTAGAGGAAGACACGACTTGTGTGCTCTGCGGACAAGAGGAAGAAAACGAAGTCCATTTCATGCTCGAATGTACCAAGCTAACAGAAGAAAGACTACGAATCCTAGCTCTTCTGAGACCGCACGTAGGAAAACCCAACGAGGTACTAAAGGCATTCCTCTTCAACGATGACAGAGAAGAGATGGAGCACAACAAGGACGGACTCTACCGGCTCTGGAGGCTGAGAAGAAAACTGGTGACAGAGGCGGGTGACGAGGAAAGGGCTTAACCACCATCCTAAGCTTATCCCACTGAAGCCCTCCCACCCGACCTGTGTTTATAGGGCTACCGATGCAAAGGTGACAGCCCGACCACCTCATCAGCATCAGATGTCGCTACCTGCTGGACGATTGGCTTCTGGGGCGACGAGCTGCGCCAGTTTGTTTACAGCGTTGAGCGAGGCGGCAGGGAGGGTGGTCGATTGTGTAAGGTCGATTATATCAGGTTCGACTCTCAATTCAGCTATCTACGGGATCTCCAAGGTATTTCTTGGTTTCAAAGATATTTGGTTGAAAGTATAGGTTTTCTTGTCGTAGCCCTTTCAAGTTTCAGCCATTTTTCTTCATTTTTGGTTCGTGATCCCCTGACTGGCATTTGTTCATTTCATTTGTTTATATCGTTTTTTATCATAGCACTATCCATCAATATCGTTGCTTGCCTTGCAATGAAGCATGAACGTAAGCAATGACCCTTCTATTTGCAGGATTTCGGAATTGCTAGGGCGAATAATTTGAATTGATATTTTTCACCCATTGTCTCATTTGCTCCCTCATTTGTCTTATTTCTCATTCATTTGACATTTCAATTTGTTCATTTATTCATTAACTCATTCCCATCCCATTCACACATCTGGCCTTGCCATTCATTCATTTCATTCATTCATTTGTTCATTCATTCATTCATTCATTCATTTGTTCATTCATTCATTCATTCATTCATTCATTCATTCATTCATTAGCAAATTTATCAGTTATTCATTAAATCTAAAATCTTTCTTTATGAATGTCGTTAGTAAAAAAGTAAAAGCATTCAGTCACAAAGCACAAACCAGCACAAACACAAACCAGTAAATCTGGTAAAAGCACAAACCAGCGGAAGGACGATGACCGTCAAAGTATGACTGATCTGATTAAGGCTGTTTGTGGTGACAGCTCAAACTTAAAGATCGATGAGGTTATCCGACTCGGCAAGAAAGATGAGACTCAAGCCCCACCCTCTGAAGCCTCTGCCTCTAGTAGTGCCACTCCTCGGCCGCGCCTGCTACTGGTGAAATTTGAGGCGAAAGAAGATGCAAACCGACTGTTCCAGAAGCGTTTTGAACTGAGGGATGCTGGGTTCTGACATGTCTACATCAATAGAGATATGAGCAAAGAAGAAAGAGAAAAGCAATACAAGCTGAGGGAAGAACTAAAAGCCAAAGGAAGGGACACACACAAAATCTTTCGGGGTAGTGTCGTCCCGAGAGGAGACTAGTGGTTCTGAAACCCCAAACACTGTATCCATTGGCAAGTGTGTTGTACTTGCTGAACGTCATAAAGTCTTGACTGTGAACAATAGCAGGAACTGTTTGGGAGAGGGCAGGAACAACAAACTAAAATGTATGTACACAAATATTGATGGATTGAATGCAATTAAGGGGTCAGAACTCAACATTACTTTGCAGCAAAAGGAATATGACATCATCTGTCTAACGGAAACAAAGCTATCAAGGGATTGTCTGCTCACACAATATGTTGACTGTGAAGACTTCCACATCTTTAGAAAGGATAGAAGCACTGGCCATGGTGGAGGAGTCTTGATCATGGTCAGAAATACAATAACTGCATCGGAACTGAAAGAAGATGGATGGGACAATGTTGAATCTATTGCCTGCCAACTCAGGTTTGGTACAAATTTCCTCAATGTTGCCTGTATGTACAGACCACCAGGGAGTCAACAAAGCTACAATGAACAGCTTATCAAATCAATGTGCATGGTAAGCAAAAAGAAGGATCAACAGGTTCTCATTTGTGGCGACTTCAACTTCAAAGAAATAAACTGGTCTGATAATGAAGTTGATGGTGGTGCAGGTAGTGAACAGTCCAAGTTTCTAGACGAGTGCTCTAACCTATATCTATATCAACATATTCGGAATTTCACAAGGATCAGAGGGAATGATCAACCATCGCTACTGGACCTTGTACTGACAAGAGATGAGTTAGAAATAACAAACATATTGCACATGGCACCAATTGGCTCTAGTGATCACTGTGTACTCTCTTTCTCATTTGAAATTGATATGAGACATCTCCCTGAAGCTGCCATGGAACTTGATCCCAAGAGAAATTTCCATAAAGGTGATTATGAAACTGCAAGAAACATGTTTGACCGAATAAATTGGGTTGATGAGCTATCAACTAAAGATGTGGAGGGAGCCTGGGATACTTTCCTAAATCACTATTGGGAAGTCATAAACCAAACTGTACCAGTATACCCACTTGTGAAAAACAAACGACACAAGAAGAAATGGGTGACTAATGAGGTTCTACGCCTTGTACGAATGAAAGAAAAGGCATGGACAAGACTTCGTGCGAACAAGAAATCAAAGAGGTTACGCCAACTCTACACCCAAGTGAGAAATGCTTCTACAAGTGCGGTGCGGAAAGCAAAGTACGACTTTGAAGCCAAGCTAGCGAGTGAGATCAAGGAAAACCCAAAAGCTTTCTATGCGTATGCACGTAGCAAGACAACTATAAAAGAAGACATTACGATGGTCAGGAAGTCAGATGGGCAACTTACCCGAAACCTAAAGGAGGCATGTGAAGAAATGAACGAACAGTTTCAAAAGGTTTTTAACACAACGTCTGACAGTCCACCTATCATCCAGTGTCTCAGCGAAAGAAAACTTACCGAGTGTAAATTTGATGTGGGTGAGGTTGTAAACATACTGCAACATTTAAAAACTCCATCAGCGCCTGGCCCTGATGGCGTCCACCCCATTGTCCTGAAAAACTGTTCAAGAAGTCTGGCCAAACCCATGCTGATTATCTTCCAGAAATCATTGGAAGATGGCAGACTTCCAAGAGACTGGACCAGAGCAAATGTATCACCGATATTCAAAAAAGGGAACCGTGAAGATCCTCTCAACTACCGTCCAATCAGCCTCACATCTGTCCCCTGCAAGGTGTTGGAGAAGCTTGTAAAGAAGAGGATAGTTGAACATCTAGAGACTAACACACTACTAAGTCAACACCAGCATGGGTTTCGCTCAAGGAAATCATGTCTCACCCAGCTGCTTGAATTTACGTATGACCTTGAAAATGCTCTTGATAAAGGATGCTGTGCGGATGCCATATATCTAGATTGCAGGAAGGCCTTTGATTCGGTCTCACACTGCCACCTCCTTGCCAAACTCAAAAGCTGCTGGTATAGAGGGCCAGCTTGGAGTATGGATCAGCAGTTTCTTGAAGAATCGCGAACAGAGAGTATGCATCCGAGGCAGTCATTCTGGGTGGAGAACTGTGTGGAGTGGTGTCCCCCAGGGCAGTGTTCTCGGCCCTGTCTTGTTCCTGCTCTTTGTCAACGACCTTCTGGATAACTTGCAGTCCCCAGGAAAGTTATTTGCAGATGATGCGAAGATTTACAGGAGCATCAAGTCGTCGGATGACTGTTCCATCTTGCAGAATGACCTGGACAGCGTACAAGTTTGGAGTAAGACCTGGCTGCTAGACTTCAACAAGGAAAAGTGTAAGGTCATGCATTTTGGAGAGAAGAACTTGAATTATGCGTACACGATGGGACAAACTACCTTAGCCACTACCAAGAAGGAAAAGGACCTTGGAGTACTGATAACGCCGAACCTCAAACCATCCGAGCAAGTCGCCCAAGCGGCCTCTGTGGCAAACTCTATGCTGGGTAGAATAAGAAGGACTTTCTCCTGCCTTGACGAACACATACTTGTACCCCTTGTACCTATCTACAAAGCACTAGTGCGACCCAGGATGGAGTTTGCTGTCCAAGCATGGTGTCCGTATCTACAGAAGGACATACTCAAGCTAGAGAAAGTTCAAAGAAGGGCAACCAAACTAATACCGTCCATAGCTGACCTACCCTACGAAGACCGTCTCAAGAGGCTCCATCTCACTACTCTACAAGAAAGAAGAGTCAGAGGTGACATGATAGAAGTCTTCAAAATTGTCAAGGGCTTTGATGTGGTGAAAGCTGGTGATAAGTTTCTTCAAATGGACGCTGGACCACGCAGCGACAGGACTCGCGGCCACTCACTCAAACTCGCCAAGCCAAGACACAGAACCCTCAAGAGAACCATGTTCTTCTCATCACGAGTTGTTGACCACTGGAATAGTTTGCCTCAAGAAGTGGTAGAAAGTCCCAGCATCAGTTCATTCAAAATCAGATACGACCAATACATGAATAGACAGTGAGAGAGGCAGCATCCCATGAGCCCAGCTCCCTTGCCTCTTATCCTACATTCTAGGTAAGAACATTCTAGGTAGGTAAGTCAGTATTTGTATAGGACAATTGATTTCTTTTAAACTTGTAACTCTTGATTGAAGAATCCTCTGTTTTGCAGTTCCAACGATGGAGACTCCAACAATCATATGCAAGGCCCTGAAGGAACAGGTAAATTGTGCTTCCATTGAGGTGCATGATCCAGAATGATGGTCATACCAACCAAATAAGGTGTGGTTGGGTAGTCTGTATGATCATTATCAATTGGCATATTGCATTTTATTGCACTACAGTGCAAAGAAAAGAATAAAGATCGCATGATCAATTATCTATTTGACTATTAGATCCTTGTCTATTATTTACCAATCCCATCCCTCCATGACATGTAGTTTCTGTTTTAGATCTCAAAATTTCAAGACAATAAGATTTGAAAGTTTGTCTTATACCTTCTATAACCCAGATAAGCCATAAGGTTTTAGGCTGTAAGTGTGATTTTGTATAGCTTTTCGCTGACTGTACTTAACTCCACAGGGCGTGCAGTACATGTTTGGAGTGGTTGGAGTTCCTGTGGTGGAGGTGGCCATTGCAGCGCAGCAGGAGGGCCTCCATTACATTGGCGAGTACCATTATAGATGTCAATTGGGGAGTAGAGACATGCTGAGATCTCAGCATATGTACATCAGTCGATGTTTGACAATGAGGCACTCTTTGCTCGATCCTGTAAAGGCTTTGACTGGGCCCATGGCTGTGGCCCTGAACCCTAATCCTGATATGGGATGCCCGTCAGTGCCAGTGTCAACTGACACTGGAAAGTGGCACCCAGCCACCCAGTTCAACTCTTTTCACAAACACCGACACTGGCACAGATATCAGCACCGGTCTAATATTTGACGGTCATGGTTGGGTGTCGAAAGTAGCTTTTTAGGAATGTGTGTAATGGGTGTTCGTTCTCATAGGTTTGATTGCGTAGTTTAAACGGCCAGAAAGAAACGGTTACGAACAGCGGTACATATGTACACGTAGCTATAGTCGCGTACATTTCCTATTCCTATGGAACTGAGCATCTGCAGTCTTTTATTACGGTCATCATCGAATGTCCGCCGCATCATATCCGATCAGATGGACTGATTACAGTTGGTTTTGATATGAATAAAAAAAAACTGTGTTAGGCGCGGTAGTGCTAATCGATTTTATATGAGCAGGCTCAGTGTCATTTCAGTGTTCAAATGCTCGTTTTCGTCAATGAGTCGCCTATTTCTTCGGTGGACTAGGTCAGGTTTATTGGCCTAGGACTGCCGTCTCCCCACTTGCTGATAAACTGATAGCGGCCGGCCGGTCTCGAGTGGAAACCACCATGGGCACCTGGTAACGGGCAAAGTCGTCACGGCTGAGACTTGACTGAAACGCTATCGGATTTTGAAGATGGAGTTTCTCTAGTGTGATGCTCATGTTGCTGATAAGATGATGTTTTTAGACTCAGCATTCGGCTCAGCATTGAACGAATCCAAAGCAGGTGGTCAAACTTGCAACTGACCGACACCTTGTAACTGGTCTCATTTGGGGTTCGGGAAACCCCTCTGACGCATGTCACCATGTCACTTGACACTACGAGTCAATTGCCAACCTGTTTAACCGTCTCGTCACCGACAGGGATGCGTAACGAGCAGTCTGCGGCGTACGCGGCCCAGGCGGTGGGCTACCTGACGCAGCGGCCGGCCGTCTGCCTAGCCGTCTCCGGACCGGGGGTGCTGCATGCCATTGGTGGCATGGCCAACGCTAGCGTCAACTGCTGGTCAGTCGGGACTCGGGAGGGCTTCAGGACACAGTTATTTACCGGGAGGGCTGACAGAAAACGATTCATAGCTGGAGCCTGGAACCATAGGCGCGGGAGCCGGGGGGGGGGGCAGTGGGGGCAGCTTGCCCCCCCCCCCCCCCCAACTCTGGGGCCGTGGGCCGTGGGGTGCCCCCACAGCTTTGAGACGGAATACCACACTCTTTTTGCAAATGTTTTCTTTTTTGTTGAAAAAGCCGAGGGGTGAAAAATAAGTGGCCTAAAACCGGTGAGAAAACTAGATTTGGGGGTACCCTAGGGCCCTGTTTCACCGGTGATAGCAGCACGCTACTATCAAATTGCGCGAGCTGACGTAATGTGATGAGGTCACACTAATGACGTTTGGTGTAATCCGTCGGAGCTGCGTTTGGAACAGAGTTGCTGTCTCGTTGAATTGCGTTTGATACATTTGTCTGATCGCAAGGCCGTGAAGACGTTAGCAGCAATATTTGATGACATCACACAGTTTGACGACGCCATGGTTTGTCGATGATTCCATGGAAACCCAATTTGACACGTGTGATAGCAGCGTGCTGCTATCACCGGTGAAACAGGGCCTAGGTTAATCTTGATCTCTATTATGGTGTGCCCCCCCCCCCCCCAGTCGGAAAGTAGTTCCCGCGCCCCTGCCTGGAACTGTAGAAAAGAATGAACTGTGGGTGATGTTAGGTGAGTTAGTTATGGTTGAGTGGAGCTTTTGACTTGTCATGAATAATTTGTCACAATTATTTATAAGGGTTTTAGGTTTGAGCCAGCTCTGTCTCTAACTGCACGTCGTTTTCGGTCGGTCATAACCCACGTTCTGTTTTTCAGGCCGCTGATTGTTATAGGCGGCGCTAGTGATGCGCCGCTAGAGGGCACTGGCGCCTTCCAGGAGTGGCCCCAGGTGGAGGCGTGTCGCCCCTACTGCAAGTACGCGGCCCGTCCGCCGTCGGCTGAACTGGTGCCCTACCATGTGATGAAGGCAGTGAAGGAGGCCACATACGGACGGCCAGGTAGGCGGACGAGACGCGAACAGACTAACGGACCCTGGGGCCTGGAGTAACTCCAGTGAATCGCTAGGGAGGCTGAGGTCAGATGGTTACCTAGAGTATTTGGTGGATCTTTTTGGCTATGGCTGGTAAGTGCTTCAAGACGAAGTGTTTTGAGTGTGTCTTATCATTCTTGTTTGACTGTCGCTTAAACCATTTCATATTTGAATGCGATTGGAAATATCATCTGGACAAACTTTTTTCCATTTTAAGTTCCAATTCTTAGGGAGCTGGCCTTTGGGTCATCTCTGTTTGCACCGATATCCCAGCATTCACACAGTTTATCTAACACCCCTGACTGTCTCCCCTTCCGGTCCACCAGGCGCCGCGTACCTGGATTTCCCCGGCGACCTCCTGCAGTCCTGTGTGCCGGAGTCGGAGGTTCAGTGGTGCCCGCCGCTGGCGCCCCCTCCTCGCGCCCTGGCCGAGCCGAGCCAGGTGACGGCGGCGGTCGGACTGCTCCGGGGAGCGGCCAGACCCCTGGTGGTCGTCGGAAAAGGTACGGAAGGGGAGGAAGGGATGGTTGGGGAATTGGTTTCGACTGGAGAGTCTGTAGGAACGTTGAGCAGGCAATTTAAGGTTTGTCAAAGCTGTTTTTGCCATACACAGGCAGTTAAGGACAGTGTGTATATTTAAGAATGGTTTGTAAAGATGGTTGTCTTGAAGAAGGACTTAAAAGAAAAAATATTCATCACATATTCTGTTGCAATCGAGTCTGCTGTCGATTTACAAGTTAAAAATTGAAGACGACATTACATTCTTCTCAGCCATAACGTCATCACTTACCATCTTTCACCCCCCCCCCCCCCGTTCAGGCGCCGCGTACGGCCGTGCCGAGTCGGAGGTGCGCCGACTGGTGGAGCGCTCCGGTCTACCGTTCCTGCCCACCCCCATGGGGAAGGGCGTGCTGCCTGACGACCACCCGCAGTGTGTCTCCGCTGCCAGGTGGGTGTTCAATCAACTCTCTTTAGGCCGTGTCCTGAGGATCCCAGTAGAAGAGAATTGCATACTAATTTTAGCATAATGTATTAGTTTTGTAGAGTCAAGGAAATCGATTGATCGATATGCACTGATGAATGATATCGATAAAACAATAACTTATCTGAAACCAACCGAACCTGTTAGGTTTCTGCGTCAACCAATAACCCTTATCTTTACTATTTTGTCCGTGGTTATATAGAGATAATTTACACATCCGTTAATTCCGGTTTTCATATATGAGAACATTGTATTTAATCCCTTGACTTCGTCTCACTGTTCTCTCTCCTATCATCATCCACGCCGCCAAGCCCGACGTGCCATTATTTGACCTCTGTCCATCCCCCCACCCACCCTCTCCCTCCCAGGTCCCTGGCGCTGGGCGAGGCGGACGTGGTGCTCCTGCTGGGAGCCCGGCTCAACTGGATGCTGCACTTCGGGCGACCGCCGCGGTTCGGCGCCCAGTGCCGCTTCATACAGGTGACAGCACTTTGCAGGTTGGGGTTTAAATGGCGAGAGAGGAGGAAGACAGTGTGAAGTGTTTCACCAGGGTTTAAGGAACTTTCTGGTACTGTTTATGAAACCCCGGGCCTTTGAACTCCAGACCAAGACTGCATGTGTGCTTTCACTCTCAGAAGGAATATATGGGATGCTAAGATTTAATTGTCAAGTATGCCACTCCCGTTAATCTCGGTATCAAAAACTAGCTCTGGCAGTGAAATTTATGTTTTCAAGTTGATTTTGTGGAAACATTTCTTTTAGAAGAATCATGGCGGTTGATTGTCTCTTTACCATTAAAAGCCCTATTCTCCATCTTCTAATGCCCTTCAACAAACGCAGAACGGTTGAACATGCTCTCTTCTCCCTTCCTTAGGTGGACATTTCCCCGGAGGAGTTCCACAACAGCGTGCCGGCGTCGGTGACCCTGCTGGGCCAGGTGGCTGAGGTCACAGGTCAGCTGGCGGAGGCCTGGGGTCAGTCGGGACCGGCCGGCGCTGACCCCGGCCGGCTCGGCACCTGGTGGCAGCGACTGCGAGAGAAGGCGGCCGCCAACCAGCTGGGTGTGAAGGTAAATGATGAAAGCTGAGGAACGATTCATGTTACGAGCTCCGATTCATGTTCGTTTTGGGATCGCTTGGTGCGAAGATTGCATAGATTAGCAAAAATCTACCCTCATGTCAAAAACGCTTCATTTTCGAATGACTAATGCGTTGCATGACTTGCTGTAATTTCAGTCTCATATTTCTGTCGCATCATCTCCCGGTGTTATTTGAGGTCCAGAATTTTGTCTCGTCTGTCCAGCTGTGTTCTCGGTCCCAGATTTCTGACACGTCAGTTCCGCTTTGTTATTTCAATGGCAGATTTCTAACACGTCTGTTCCATTGTGTGATATTTCAGTCGCAGATTGCTGACACCTCTGTCCCGCTCAACTACTATGCGACTCTGCAGTGTGTCCAGGACAACATCCCCAAAGGTAACGCATCGAATACGTCGCTCGTGTTGTAGCAGGGCCTTAAACCCGAGGTGCCTACGAGAACCGGGTTGATCGCTGTGATCGCTGTTTACCCATTGTGTTTGCTGATCAATCGTTTTGAAATGAATGATTGTCCAAGTTCACGTGGACGTGACACACCCCTCCCTATGTCGCTCACGTCCCTTTCCCTCCCCAGACAGCATCATCGTCAGCGAGGGCGCCAACACGATGGACATCGGCCGCACGCTGCTGCTGAACCGCCAGCCGCGCCACCGACTCGACGCCGGCACCTTCGGAACCATGGGCGTCGGACTGGGCTTCGCCGTCGCTGCTGCCATCTATTGTCGTCAGGAGAAACTAGCCGAGAGGGTGATTTGCGTGGAGGGAGACTCTGCGTTTGGTTTCAGCGGAATGGAGGTGGAGACCATGTTTAGGTGAGTGATAAAAAGAGGGAATCAGCGGAGGGCGGAGGGAAGTGGTTTGGGGATGGCAACGGTAGTATAGCTGGGTAAAATTCACCTTATTTGATCGTGACGTATAGCCGTTCCCACTGGGCTTGGGGCTGGAGATATGTCGGTAAATGAGTATCGGGTGTGTTTTGTTAATGTTTACTGTATTACTTACTACCTTGCTGTACTGATCCATTACCTCTACCCAGACTTGTCCCGATCGCCTCTCACTCTCGCCTCTCTGTCGCGTTTCAGGTACCGTCTTCCGATCATCGTCATTGTCATCAACAACAACGGCATCTACTCGGGCCTGAACCGGCCTCTGTGGGACGACCTCACCGCCGAGACATCCGGGTCAATCAGGTCGGTACTGGGGTCAGGTGGGGTCAAGGCAGGTCGCATAGGCTAGACAGGTCAGCATATGTCCAGGACAGGTCACCACTACATCAGCCAACCGAGATGGCGAGAATAGCAGGTCAGCACCCACTGCACACAGATGACGTCATTTATCTGTTACAACTGTTCACATATGACGTCATTTACCCATCAGCTCGCCACCCACGGCGCTGCTGCCGGACAGCCGGTACGACCGTATGACGTCACTGTTCGAGGGAGAGACTAGTCCGTCGGGCTGGAACTGCACCACCATCCCGCAGTTGAAGACGGCGCTGGAGGCGGCGCTCCAGGTAACTGGCGCGCCTGAAAAATGGCGGGAAATGGGCCGTGATGGTACTGATTCCAGTGAGGTATTTGTCAGAGTTGAGAAATCGTGTTCGTTAAATTAAATTTGAATGTAGCTAATTCCGCATGAAATAGTTTTCGTACGAGAAAACATATGACTTCGGTTTCCAAAGGATGTCTGAAAAATGTCATGCAGTATCGTATGATTATTTGCTCTAGGATTCTTGATGACCGCAAAATATTCCCTCTCATTAAACAGCTTCTTTTTACTTTGATTCATGTTGGAAGCTATTGATTTTACTGGTTGCGTGCTTCGCCTCTTCTCTACCGATGGACAACCTTCTCCCTCCAGCTCTTGAAAACTACGACGCTTTTGACCTTCGTAAATGGGCCTTTCACTGTTAAGTGCAGCTGTAGACCGACCACATAAATTCCCAAGTGTTTGGTCGTTATGCATTGTAACGCCTTCCATCTGTGTTTGGGCAAAATCCTTGTATGATGCTGTTTGCGCATTGTAGGTTTCATGTCCTGAAGTACTTACCCACCTTTACTCGTATGTATCCATCATTGGAGTGTGTCTAATCATGTTCACAATGTCAAAACGCTCGTGTTTGCCGCACATAAACCACCATCATTATATGCAACAACTGCCTTTGTACATCTATTTATGACATCTCTAACAGCAACGAAACTTTATGTGTTATGACTGTCCCAACATGGCGTCTTTCCGTAAACACTGCTCAACCACCTAACGACTCGGTTAATCACCATCGTTAATTCGCCGGGTCAGTGAATCTCCCAATATGACGTCGGTGACGCAGCGACTGACGTGGCCGGCAGGTGACGAATCGACCCACCATCATCAACGTCATGATCGACCCCATGTCGACGCGGAGGCCGCAGGCACACGACTGGCTCACGCGCGCCAAAATGTAAGACTCGCGCCACGAATGGGTCGCACGCGCCAAAATGTAAGCGGCGCCAATATGAGGTGCCATTGATTCGCGCCACAACAGGTTGAACCGCGCCAAAACGTAATACCGGCGCGGGTGGAGGCGCAAAAATCGTTGTTCGAGTCGCATCTGGGGAGTGATTAGTCAAATGGGGCTACGGTGTGCGGTGACTACGGTGACTTCAGTTGCTCAGGTGCTAAATATGTGATCGATCCTGGGTAAAGATGCAATATTTTTAGAAATGATTATATTGTTATGTAGAATAGTTATTCGAAAGCGATTAGCTTTGATGTGCTTCCAGGAAAATATGCCTGATTTGTGCTATGACTGCGTGCTCAATTTAGATGTGTGAGTAACGGAGAGCGAATGTCCTTGCTCGAGGCTCTTCGTGAAGGGACTCGATCAGTCTCAATCTCTACTGCCCCACAAGTATACATTATGCAGTGCCATTTGCGCTTGCTGTGGGTCCAAAGAAAGTGAAGTAGCCAACTCAGTGCGTTGAAGTCCTACAAAACTCGATTCCAGACCACTGTTGTGTTTGTATATAGGCCCCCCCGAGGCCCCCTACTTGGACCGCCTCTGCGACCCCACGGTGCCAGGTGCCTGTGAGCGCCCCTGCCGGCGCCAGCTGACCGTGCGCGCCAAGCGGCGTGACTGGCGCACGGGACGTGGGCTGGCGCTCGCCATACTTTTTTACGTTTCGATCTCTCTCTCGGCCCATTCGCACCGGTCTAAAATAAATCGCGTTGATATTCATAAGCTCTTTCACTTCGAACCGATAAACGACAACTAAACATGGCGCGGTCGGTTTTGTGAATTACTACGTGATTGAGCATACCGCGATGACTATCATTCAAGAACTGACGGCACTGCTGGAGAGGCAAGTGAAGAGAGCCGCCGACGCCGACAAGCGCCTGGAGCGCTTGGAGAGGCTGCTAACCAGGGAGCCCTCCGCGGGGACGGACGCGACGACCGGAGTGTCAGAGTCGGGGGCTGAGCGAGGCGCTGATGGATCCGTTGGACCAGCTGCCGCTGCCCGCCGGACTGTCTGCCTGCCGGTGTCGGCGACCCCGCCCGCGCAACCGAAGTCGGCATCGACGTGCAACGGCCGTGCCGAGTGCAGTGTTCACGACAGTGATTTAGGAGCGGTGAGCCGCAGGCTGGAGGACTTTGAGCTGACGCTCAAATACGCCGTGAACGTTTGTCGGGCGAGCGATGGTGCCCGTGTCACGTGCCCAGACCTCCGCGGCAACGAGGGACATTCCGCGGCGCGCCTGCCGGCCTACAAGAGGCGCAGGCGGCCGAGTGTCGCCCATTCCGCTACCGCCACAGATCATCAGTTTCTTGAGCGTTGCCCTACCTGTGGCCGTCGCCAGCACGCCGGCGGAGACACGTGTCGCGCCGCTGGCGCCATCTGTCGTGCGTGTGGCGAACCGGGGCATTTTGAGATTGTGTGCCACCAGAGGAGCTCCACGGCGGTCGCCGGGAGCCGCGTCACCGCTGCTGACGGTGCTGCAGTGCCTGGAGACCCTGCCCGTGGTTCACCAGCTCGCAGTGGCCAGCGAGAGCAGCACGAGCGGGACGCACAGCGAGTGAAGAACGGACACCTCAGCAGTAGCGGCACCCGCCCGACGGCTGATCGTCCCGTGGCGACATCTGCAGCGACGAAAGTACGCGACTCACCGGTGGTGGCGCCAGTAACGGTAGCCACCGGCACCGCCGTGTTGCCGCCGCCGGCGGACACGGGCCAAGCCGGGCAAACTGCACTTCACCCCGCCGAGCTGAGTGACGCTGCTGAGGTCCACGGAGCCTGCCCGCCGCCGGCGGGAGGCTGGCCAGCGCAGACCATGGACGGCGAGGCAGCCCCTGACAACGCCGTGTCATCGCCGCAGGCGGACACGGGCCGCACCGGCAGTCCTGCAGCGCAGCCGACTGAGCCGGTCGGAGCTACCGCATCCTACGGAGCCTCACCGCCGCCGGCCGGAGGCATCCCAACTTGGAGCACGGACCGAGTGTACCGAGCCTCGCCGCCGCCGGCGGGAGGCCCATCGGCAGCCACCGGCGCCGCCGTGTCGTTGCCGCCGGCAGACACGGGCCGAGGAGCCGGCCGTACCGCGGCGCAGCCCACCGAGCCGGCTGGCGCGCGCGGAGCCTGCCCGCCGCCGGCGGGAGGCTGGCCGGCGCAGACCACGGACCGAGAGGCAGTCCCTGATAACGCCGTGTCACCGCCGCAGGCGGACACGGACCGAGCTGGGTGTACCGCGGCGCAGTCTACAGAGCCGGCTGGCGCCCACGGAGCTTCGCCGTCGCCGACGGGAAGCCTTCCAACGCGGACCAGCTACGGACACGGAACCGCCGACAACGCCGTGTCACAGCCGCCGGCGGACACGGGCCGAGTCGGGCGTAACGCGGCGCTGTCTACGGAGCCGGACGGAGCTACTAGAGCGTACAGAGCCTCGCCGCCGCCGGCGGGAGGTCTACAAACGCGGACCGGCGACGGAAACAAAACCGCTGGTGACGCCGTGTTGCCGCCGCCGGCGGACACGGGCCAGCCCGGGGCCACTGCGGTGCAGCCCGCAGGCCCGGCCGGAGCCGCTGAAGCCTACGGAGCCTCGCCGCCGCCGGTGGGGGGCATCCCAACGCCGAGCACGGGCCAAGGTGCAGCGGCCGGCCCCGCCGTGTCGTCGCCGCCGGCGGACACCGGCCAGATTGAGTCCACCGCAGGGCAGTCTAGCGGGCCAGCCGACACCCACGGGGCCTCGCCGCCGCCGGCGGGAGGCCTACAAACGCTGAGCACGGGCCCAGGTGCAGCTGCCGGCCCCGCCGTGTCACCGCCGCCGACGGACACGGGCCAAACCGACTGTTCCGTGACACAGCCCACCGTACCCGGTGAGACTGATGACGCCTACGGAGCCTCGCCGCCGCTGGTGGGAAGCCCGCCGACGCAAAGCAGGGACAGAGAAGAGGTCGTCAGTGACGCCGTGTCGCCGCCGCAGGCGGACATGGGACAGACCGACTGTGCTGAGGATGACGCGGGTCTGGCGCCGCTCGTGGGCCCGGTTCAGGGGATGGCCGGAGACGCCGCTGGCTGTGATCCGTGGCCGCCACCCGACACCGGAGCGCCGCCTACCGGTGACCTCTCGGGCGACAACGGGCGCGCCCGCTGCGGACGCCGGAACAAGCGCCCGCCGCCATGGGTCGCAGCAGTCGTGTGTGCCAGCCCCGATCGTCTGTTCGTTCGTTGGGGTGCGACCTCGTATGAGGAGTGAGACAACGTCGTGCAGTGTTGTGTTTTTGGCGGTTTCACGACTGTTGTCTCGAGGGGAGATGTTGTGTTTGTATATAGGCCCCCCCGAGGCCCCCTACTTGGACCGCCTCTGCGACCCCACGGTGCCAGGTGCCTGTGAGCGCCCCTGCCGGCGCCAGCTGACCGTGCGCGCCAAGCGGCGTGACTGGCGCACGGGACGTGGGCTGGCGCTCGCCATACTTTTTTACGTTTCGATCTCTCTCTCGGCCCATTCGCACCGGTCTAAAATAAATCGCGTTGATATTCATAAGCTCTTTCACTTCGAACCGATAAACGACAACTAAACAACCACGAGAAGCGACAACAACGTCCGACGTTAGCAGATATGGACGCCTCAACCGGGATACGTTGACGTTGCAATATTTACTAGTGTTCTATGGACCACTGTCTACTGAAGATTCAAAACACTGCTTCCTTGGTTGACTGGTTGAAAGTTATGGTAAAAACTATTTACCGTTGGGCTATTTTTTAATGGATTGTGGAAGGCGCCATTCGCATTAAGACACAATAAAATACTGTTTTACATGCTAATAATTGATAATTTTACCGCTCGGATGGGTAAGAGAGATTACATTTTTTACGTCATCTGCCAGTAACATTGCGTAGTACGTTGTATCCGATAAAACTGAACTGCTATCTGTTGTTCAATACATTCAGACATGTCTCCATTTTGCTTCTGTGTCTATAAGCCTCTCTAAAGAAGGATAAAACGCGGTAACGGTAGCGCAGGCGTCACCGATAGCTTCGGTGGTGTAAACAGTCAAGGTAGGTGTATTGTAAGCATATTGACATAGATATGGAAGCACTGTTGAATTCAATGACGTCATTGGAATATAAAAAAGTCTCTAGAACAATATGAAAGTCTCTGGAACGTGTCGAGCGGGACAGAGTGAGACTCGGCCGACTACAGCAGGACATAGTGGGACTCAGCCGACTACCATGGGACATAGTGGGACTCAGCCGGTCCCAGTGGGACACAATGGGACTCGGCTGGTCCCAGCGGGACAAAGTGGGACTCAGCCGACTACAGCGGGATATAGTGGGACTCAGCCGACTACTGCGGGACATTGGGACCTTGCTGACTACAGAGGGATATAGTGGGACTTGATGGGATTCTGCCGGTCCCAGCGGGACACAGTGGGACTCGGCCGGTCCCAGCGGGACAAAGTGGGACTCAGCCGACTACAGCGGGACATAGTGGGATTCGGCCGGTCCCAGCGGGTCAAAGTGGGACTCAGCCGACTACAGCGGGACATAGTGGGCCTCAGCCGACTACTGCGGGACATTGTGGGACTTTGCTGACTACAGAGGGATATAGTGGGACTCGGTCGGTCCCAATGGGACACAATGGGATTCTGCTGGTCCCAGCGGGACACAGTGGGACTCGGTCGGTCCCAGCGGGACAAAGTGGGACTCAGCCGACTACAGCGGGACATAGTGGGACTCAGCCGGTCCCAGCGGGACAGTGGGATTCGGCCGACTCCAGCGGGACAAAGTCGGGATTGGTAGGTCCCAGCAGGACACAATGGGACTCGGCCAGTCCCAGCGGAACAAAGTGAGGCTCACTGGCTCAGCCGACAACAGCAGAACATAGTGGGACTCAGCCGGCTCCAGCGAGACATAGTGGGACTCAGTCGAATCCAGCGGGAAAAATTCGGCCGGACCGCGTCCCATTTTGTCTCGCTGGAACCGGCTTAGTCCCACTATGTCTAGCTGTAGTCGGCTGAGTCCCACTATGTCCCGCTGTACTTTGTCCCGCTGGGACCAGCCGAATCCCACTATGTCCCGCTGGGACCGGCTGAGTCCCACTATGTCCCGCTGTAGTCGGCTAAGTCCCACTATGCCCCACAGTAGTCGGCTGAGTCCCACTATGCCCCGCTGTAGTCGGCTAAGTCCCACTATATCCCGCTGTAGTCGGCTGAGTCCCACTTTGTCCCGCTGGGACCGGCCGAATCCCACTATGTCCCGCTGGGACCGGCTGAGTCCCACTATGTCCCGCTGTAGTCGGCTGAGTCCCACTTTGTCCCACTGGAACCGGCCGAGTCCCACTGTGTCCCGCTGGGACCGGCAGAATCCCATTGTGTCCCATCGGGACTGACCGAGTCCCACTATATCCCTCTGTAGTCAGCAAAGTCCCACAATGTCCCGCAGTAGTCGGCTGAGTCCCACTATGTCCCGCTGTAGTCGGCTGAGTCCCACTTTGTCCCACTGGGACCGGCCGAATCCCACTATGTCCCGCTGTAGTCGGCCGAGTCCCACTATGTCCCGCTGTAGTCAGCTGAGTCCCACTTTGTCCCGCTGAGACCGGCCGAATCCCACTATATCCCGCTGTAGTCGGCTGAGTCCCACTTTGTCCCGCTGGGACCGGCCGAGTCCCACTGTGTCCCGCTGGAACCGGCAGAATCCCATTGTGTCCCACTGGGACCGACCGAGTCCCACTATATCCCTCTGTGGTCAGCAAAGTCCCACAATGTCCCGCAGTAGTCGCCTGAATCCCACTATGTCCCGCTGTAGTCGGCTGTAGTCGGCTGAGTCCCACTTTGTCCCGCTGGGACCGGCCGAGTCCCATTGTGTCCCGCTGGGACCGGCTGAGTCCCACTATGTCCCATGGTAGTCGGCTGACTGAGTCCCACTATGTCCCGCTGTAGTCGGCTGAGTCTCACTCTGTCCCGCCCGACACGTTCTAGAGATTTTTCATATTGTTCTAGAGACTTTTTATATTCCAATGACGTCATTGAATTCATTAGTGCTTCCATATCTATGTCAATATACTTACAATACACCTACCTTGACTGTTTACACCACCGAAGCTATCGGTGACGCCTGCGCTACCGTTACCTAAAACGCTGGGCTGTATTGTGTGCTATCAGGGCACTAAAGGCCCGATTTACTGACCGTATTTGTTATCCGGCCGGGAGCCAGTTTTGACTAGTGAGGCGCCGCGGTTCCTGATATCGACCACCAGGGCAGCTATTATTTTATGTGTATCGTCTATACACATCCCATATAAAAGCCCCTATTGTAGATCTAAGTGCGTGCGCTCATATGCATAGCTCCATGACAGCTCATAGAAACCGCCCCATCGATCTCCGGTTAGCTGCGCTGTATGACGAGACGTTACGGACATCATGCGTGCGTTACTGACGTCAGACTGTGTTCCCAACAGCAGACTGTGTGTTCCCAACATCAGACTGTGTTCCCAACATCAGACTGTTCCCAATGCCAGTGTGTATTCCCAAAGTCAAGCCGTCTGCTACCCCCAGAGACGGCACTCTGGGAGCGGAGTGAGTAGCCGTATTGATCGCGTCCGTTTGACGCCTCCTCCCGTCGCCGCCTGCTGGTCAGCTGTACTTACCGGCCGTCACCTCTAACAGCCTAACAGGCCCTTCTTCAGTGGCTCGGAATGTGTCTGCCCTGGGAATGTATCAGCACTGGGAATGGACAGAGGTGGAACTGACAATAGGCGACCCATTGTGCGCTGATGGTGAATTGTCATTTGTCACGTATGAATTGGCACGTGGCTGGCAGTAACATGGCATTGACGAGTCGGACACGAAAGGCAATTGTGGCGACGCTGTTGACCTTACCATCATCGCATATAATTAACCCGTGTCCCTCTGAGGGCCCTACTTTTCATGTCATCGAGTGTAAGATCGGTAAACACTCTTTCGCTCGCCTCTTAGGCTACAAGCGATGAACTTTAAAAGGCAGTCGATGATGTGCTCTCCCCTCTCCCTCCAGCGGCTGCGCCCCAACCTTTGCGTCATGGAATTGTACCCGAAATGGATTCAATCTCACCAAGTTCCTTTCCCAGACATCGCCCAACTGTAGTTGAACTATCGTAAGTCAGCAACAACTATACGCCATGTATGAGTACTGTGCATTATTTCATCAAGCTTAGACCAGCCAGGCATATGTGAACAAAGCCAAACGGTTTGCGGGAAAAGACTTATTAGCTAAAGTGAACGGGCAGGTCGCGTACCCTCTTTGAAGCCAAGCCATTAAATGACACTTCACCCTTCCCTGCCTTTTGAATCAAGCGAACGAGTTAGGACAGGACACTCCCGAACGCGAAGCTGGTGACCAAAGGCAAAATTTATCGACGAACTAACGTCAGCATAGAAATTTGAGAAACATCACGTATGTTCCCGCTATAGAATTAATTCGTGACTTGACGACTGAAGGTGTGGATGGCAGACTGGAAGCACTGAGGAGTGCGAGGAGCTGTATTGATTGAGCTCGTCTGACGCGTCCTCGCACACATTATCTGTTGTTGGATTAGTTGTTGTACAGTCGTGTCCCCCTCCCCTCCGCTCCACTATTTGTGGTTTACAGTTACCGTCAAACCATGGATGAGATAATAACCCATGTTATCTCATCCATGGATGTGTTATCCATGGTCAAACCTTTCAACTATAGTGAAGGAAGCTTGTGTATTTCATGCTTTATCACTTCAAAACTAAGGATTACTTATGCAAGCATTGGTGACCTAGTAATAACCTAGAATCACTGAGCGAAAATATGTTCACCGTAGGATAAAATATGTGCCCACACCACTCGTCCTCCTCAGAAAATCAACAACTCGTCTCATTTACCACGAATCTCCGTGCGCCTGGACTTCAGGAACGCCACCGCGAGTAAGGAATCGGACATCTTCCCGATAATCTTCGAGTACATCCCTGACTGGGAGAACCTGAACCAGCCCCACTCGATGAGGCAGATCCCCGCACACGCCACCATCGCCACCGGCAGGATGATCAGCACGACGAACATATCTCCCAGAGACATCTGCTGGTACTCTGACTTCATCACGCACATCTCATCCTTGGACTTGATCCAGCGGGCTTTGAGCTCTGCCAGCATCCCAGTCTCCTTCATCTTCAGCAAGATGTCGTTGATAGCGCGGCGAAGCGCAGGGCGGCGCTTGGAGATACCCATGAAGAGGTCTTTAGATTTGACGGTCAGACCGGGTATCGGTACCAGATGACACACCTCCGGGCCCAGCGCAAACACCACCTTGTCAAAGTTGACAAACGTCATCACCTTGGGCTGAACGAGCTCGAAGACACTGTCCCCCTTGAAGTTGATCTCGATGAAGCCCTGCCGGGTGACGGAGCGCCGGTAGAGCTCCCGCTCGTACGGGTCTCGGCTGCGTCTCCAGTCGTTGAGGATGGCATGACCGGGCTGGATGGCGAGTCTCCAGCCGGGCTGCTCGGCGAACTCCTTGAGACTCCTGATCGGCAGCGCCACCGAGTGCACCACCATGTGGGAGATCAGGTTGGCCGTGTAGCTGGTGTAGATGATGGTGCGCAGTGCCCAGCACGAGGCGGCTACCAGCCGCGCTGGGGTGCCCAGCGGCAGGTCGGGCCAGCCCTGGCCGACGAATGATGTGAAGGAGAAGAGAAGGCACGAGCCGAGACCCATGTCAACCACTGGTCCTTGGGTCAGCTCTCCGCTAGACTCTCTCTTACGGCCAGCGCTCCTCGAGGAGATGTTCGTCGTTCTTTGAACGCGGTCAGAGAGACCAAAGAAGAGAGCGATGCGGAGTACAAGTGCCAGCACCAGGAGCGAGACGAGCACTGCCCACCACACGCTGCCATGTAGCGGCTGCAGGAGCGAGCCGAACAGCTCGGCCGTCACCGGCGGCAGACCCTCGTCCTTTCCCGCCCGCACGTAGAACGTGCTGTACGATCTGGCGACGGCCACCGAGTCCAGGTAGTCGATCACAGAGGCACGGTCCTGACGTAGGTAGATAGCCGTCACCGCCACATCGGCGCGCCCGTAGGCGAGCTCCCCGACCATGCCGGACCAGGTGCCGTTCTCACCAACCGAGCCGAACCCTCCAGACAGCAGCGGCTCGATGCGATATCTCAGACCGAGCTCGGCAGCTATCAGCTCCCACAGCTGCACCAGATAGCCGTCGTAGAGGAACGTCCCGTTGGCTAGCCGCTGGATCAGCACGAACGGCGGGTTGTGCATCGTGGTGACCACCACGTCCGGCTCCAGGGAGGCGTTGAAGGAGACCGTCCACGGCTGGCCCACGAACTGCAGGCCAGCCGGGAGCTCCATGGTGGCACCTCCGCGCCCGACGGCGTCCGGACAGCGACTGAGCCGAGCGGCCGGGGGTGTGCGGACGGGGGGCGTCACTGGGGTGTGTGTGGGCGTCACAGGGGTGTGTGTGGGCGTCACAGCCCACAGGGGTGTGGGCGGGGCGTCATCAGAGACACCACGGGCCAGGCCTCCCAGAACTGGCAAAGAGACAATCCATGCCAATCAATCGCCAAGTGTTTCATTCACAGGGGCGTGATGCGTTCCGATGTGGTCTGTTTTGTGCAGGATGCAATATGTCTCGGCTACAATAGAATGGTGGTATTCGTGCGCTGTGTTTCGGTCACAGTCGTGGGAATGCGTCCACCGGGAGGCGTTACCGTTGCCACAGGCTGCCGAGCTCTCTATGAGACACGATGCTGATGACGTAGTGTGCGGCATTCATGTAGGCCTATAGGTACAAATGTTAAATGTCGTACGGGTCCCGGACAGCCTGAAACTTTGGTGTTTATGCTTCAGAGGGAAGCAAATACCTATCGTCGATATACCTATATCGTTGGATACCGTCGCGTTTTTGGTATAATTATTAATTATTACCATATATCTTTTACGTGTAGACTACCAAAATTTCATACCTATTGAAATTCAGGTCATTCAATGTCAGGTCATCAGGTCAAAAGTTACCTCAAGAACGAAATAACAACGCATGGGCGTAACCACCGCGCTGGAACGCTGGAAATTCCAGCCCATTTTTGGGATGCTGAAATGCCGCCCCCGGTAGAGGAAAGCTACAATTGCGGGACTCGCGGACTTCAAAACCAAGAAAAAAGAAACGGCACTGCTCGGTCCACTATACGCCTGACCTCAACGTGCCGCTCCTCACTAAAATAACTAGGTGCCCTCTACATGCCGCCCCTCCCAGATGTCCTTCCGCCCCTCCGCACCGACTTCCCCTCAAGTTCCTCGGAGCTCTCATGTGCCGCCCCTCACAGAACCCCGCCGTACTCAATGTGTCGCCCCTCCGCATATAGCTCTATCGCCGTCTGTGTCGCCCTCCCCAGAGTACCTCGGCGCTCTCTATGTGCTGCCCTCGCCACAACTTCCCGCCGCCCTCAATAAGCCGCCCTATGCTCTATCGCCATATGTGCGCCCATCCCCCCCCCCCCCCCCCGAAGTGCCTTGGCGCCCTCTATGTGGCGCCCCTCACCACAAACCCCGCCGCCCCAAATGTGCCGCCCCTCCCCACAACGCTTTACCACCGTCTGTGCCGCCCTCCATAAACGCCTTGCCGCCCTCCCCAGAGTATCTTGGCGCCCACTATGTGCCGCCCCTCGCCACAACACCCCGCCGCCCTCAACAAGCCGCCACTCCCCACAATGCTCTATCGCAGTCGGCGCCACCCTCCCAAGGCACCTTGCCGCCGCTACGTGCCGCCCCTCCCCAGACGCCTTTCTGCCCTTACGCGCCTCCCCTTCCCAGAATGCGTCAAAAGGTTTAATGATTCGCCCCTCCCTATAACGCTCCATCGACGTCTGTGCTGCTCTCGTCAGGTGCTGTGCCACCTCTCCCCGGAATGCTAGCCCTCGCTGGCCCGGGGGGCGTTTTTCGCCCCTAACCCTGGCGAATATTTGCGATAGCTCAGTCAGGGGTGCTTAAATTGCTGCTGTTTACATATAATAACTACGCATTGACTTGGCGAATTGTGCTGAAACGTCTCCGATAGGTGAACATCGTGCGGACCGGGGGATTCATAATTCCATGCCTAAGTATCACAGTTTGGTTGCTACTCTTAACGTGCGCAAACGAAGGACGTGCGCACGTTTTGGCGGGCTCTGTATGCTGTCCAACACAAAGTGTTACATTTTGGGCTCGATAAGTCTAAGGGATTCGCTTATGCGAATTCAGCCCATGAGAGCGTCAGGTGAGACGCTCTGATCGCAAACAACCATCGAAGCCGCGAAAAGGCCCTGTGTGATTGCTTGATGTAAACATTCCGAGCCAACGAGTAGTGCCCTGAGCGCGCAGCAAGACTCAAGAGTAAAGCTGAGCACTTGAAAGAGTCCTCGGTCTACTGTGGGGCCCTTGAGTGGGTGAGGTCTTTAGCTGGATCCCGTCCTGCAGGCTCACGCCTGGAATGGGTCCTCTTTAGGCAGGCTCGAAAGCTTAGGGGCCATCAGAGGCCGGTGTGGGGCTCTGAGAGTTAAGCGTGGCTGCTTAAAAGTTGCGTACTGCTTTCAGAAGGCCTGTGCGTTGGGCACCCAAAGACCAGTGTGGTGCCTTAAAATGCCAGTGTTACGCCCTCAGAGATGCACTGGTCAAGCCCTTTGAGGTTCTCAGAGGCGTCGGCGTGGTGCTCTCACAGGCGGGTGTGTGATCCGTTGAGGTTTTGGCGTGATACCCTCAGAGGCCGGCGTCGCGTGGTGCTCTTAGAAGCTGGTGGGAGCTTCCAGAGTCTTCAGTGTAGGACCCTCAGAGTCACCGGTGAGGACTCTCAGCATCACCGGTGAGTGGCCGGGCCGTGGGCAATGAGCCGGTATGGGACCCTCAGAGGAAGGCACCGGTGTGAGACTCAAGAGAGGTCAGTGTGAAGCCTTTACAGTTGCCCGTGTGGGGCAGTGAGTGCACTGGCGTGGTGCCTTCCGAAGGCCGGTATGGGATTGAAGCTTAGCGAGGTGATAAAGGACTTGACCCTCGCCCGTATTGGTGTTTTTTCCAGCCACGAACGTATAAGGGGGGGGGGGGGTCCGTTGGCCCCCCTTGCCGTTTCGCCCCTGATCGACCTAGAGCTTCGCGGAAAAAACGAGCGTGTTGCCCGTGACGAGAGGAAGCCGATGATACCCAATTTTAAGGTCCTAGATTATCGGTTGACCTTCCAGGTCAGGTCAATGACCCAAAAGTCGGGAAAATCGGGACCAGTTAGAACGTCGTAAAACGTGGTTACTATGGGGGTTTTAGGGTGCTGATTACGAATATCATGCTAGTTTTTGTCTTAATGCATTTAGGCCAGGTCGAGTCAGGTCAGGTCAGGTCAACCAGTAAGGGTTTTGCCGGGTATTCGTAGTAGGTGGCAACCGCCTCTGACAGCTTCGTAACATATTACGAAGGCACCAAAACTACTTGGTAAATGTTCATATGGTTGCTAAATTCGAGTTCAGCTAAAAAAAAAAAACTAGCCTAGAAACATGTAAAACTCGAAAAAGTGAACCGAGGTCATCAAAGGTCAATGACCTGACCTGACCTTCCGGTGACCTTGACACCCACCCTAATGCATGGGAGCAACATCATATCCCATGTTTGAAAGCTTGAAACCACGAAAAGACTGCAAACGCGCAGCTAATGCGAGCCGACATCAGCCGAATCGCGATTCCGGCCGAACATGGTCTCGAAAAGTAGGTCACAGGTCAAAGGTCATTTGAGTCAGGGTCATGCAATTTCTAGGGTAGGTGTAAAACTAATAAACACGAGGGTACTCAATGTGTTGTCGCGATCGGCCGCTTTTTACGCGATGTATTCGCGAAAAACCATGGGGGGGGGGTCCGTTCGACCCCCCCCCCCCCTATACGGGCGAGGGTTAAGTGGTGCCTTCGGTAGGACCGGTTCGGAAGCATTATTGTGGGGTCCTCAGAGGTATTATGAATACGCTGACTGAGGCCAAAGAGGTGCCGGTGTGGACCCTCAGAAGTGCTAGTGTGAGGCCCTGAGAGACGCCAGTGAGGTTCCTCACAGGCGCCGTTGTGGGCCCTCAGAGACACTGGTGTGGGGCCGTCACAGACGAATGTGGGGCCCATAGGGATAGAGGCTAGAGCTGCTGGTCTGAACCCCTTACAAGCCGGCAGGGGGCTCTCAGAGACCAGCAAAGGCCCTCAGGCCAGCAAAGGGCTCCCATAGGCCGGCGATACCTTCAGAAGCTCTGTGGGGTCCTTAGAGACCGGCACAATACTTTCAGACGCCGGTGGGGCCCTCAGAGTCGCCGATGTAGGGCACTCAAAAGTCACCGGTGGGTGGCCGTCAGATGCGCTGGTGTGGGGCCCTCAGAGGCGCCGATGTTGGGTCCTCAGAGCCGCTGATAAAGGTCCTAAAGAGGCACGGTGTGGGGCCCTCAGGAGTGCCAGCGTGGGGCCCTCAGAAGCACTGGTATGAGGCCCTCAGAGGTGGCAGTGTGGGGGCACTCAGAAGCGCCGGTGTAGGACCTGCACAGTCGCCGGTGAAGCCCTTCACAGGCGCCAATGTGGAGTCCCTCAGAGACACAGGGCCATCAGAGGCGCGAGCTGCTGTTGTGGACCCTTCATAAGCCGACAAGGGGATTTCAGAAGTCGGTGGTGCCTTGAGGAGCCCTGTGGGGTCCTTAAACACCGGCATGGTTTTCTCAGATGCTGCTGGTACCCTCCGAGTCACCAGTGTGAGGCCGTCAGAGCCACTGGTGTGGGGCCCTCAGAACCGCCGATACAGGGCCTTTAGAGACACTGGTGTAGGCCGTCAGAGTTGGGGGGGGACCCTCAGATACGCCGGTTTGGGACCTCATAGGCGCCGGTGAGGGCCCTCAGCGTCGCCGTTATGGGCCCTCAGAAATTTGTGTGGGGCTATCACAGGCGGGTTCGAGGCCACTAGAGGTGGCCCGTAATAGGCCGGTAAGGGCCCTCAGAAGCCAGCAAGGGACACTCAGAAGGTGGCGTAGGGCCTTTATGGAGAACTTAGTGTGGCTACTCAGGGGCCCATGGGATGTCCTTACGAGCCCTGTGGGGCACTTCTGAGTCGAAATATGACAGAAATATGGTCAGTAAACCCTCAACGGCCAATTGGCGCCACAGGGCCCCTCGTGCCCGTGTGGGGGACCTTCGGGACCTGTTTAGGCCCTCAGAGGCGCCGGTGAGGGCTATCAGTCGCCATTACGGGGCCCTCAAAGAAATTGGTGTGGGACCGTCACAGACGGGTGTGGCCTGGGGCCCCTAGAGCTGGCCCCTAATGGACCGGTAAGGCCCCTCAGGCTGGTTAGGACGCTCTGGCCGGTAAGGGCCCTGAGGCCGGTAAGGGCCCTTAGAGACCGCTGAGGCCCCCCCCCGCTTTCGACGCCCATGGTCAGATCCCATTGCAATTGAACTCACCTGAATGAAGTGAACTTGAAGAGTGTGCCTATCATTTATCAATCCGGTGCGTAGTAGCAAAGTCAAACTGCCAGCAGCGGGCTGACCAGTGACCACCCATCTTACGCATGCATATCTACCGCATAAAGTACCAGTATCTCGAACACCAGAGCTGTGGCGTGTTCTTTGCGTCTGCCCCTTGTACGTGTAGTCAGTTGACTGCTGATTATTGTTCGTATTTCACAAAGCGTAAGAATTTGACACACAACAGCGACACAGTAAATGCCCTCAGGTACTCACCTCTGGCTCCCGAAACACAAGTGCCGCCCTTCCCTTGGCATTTGATGCCGCCCCCGGAGGGAGT